GGTATACTCACTCTTCTGTCGTCTACTAAATTCAGTAATTGTCTGAATAGTCAAATACAACATTACTTCTCTCTCTCTCTCTCTCTCTCTCTCTCTCTCTCTCTCTCTCTCTCTCTCTCTCTCTCTCTCTCTCTCTCTCTCTCTCTCTCTCTCTCTCTCTCTCTCTCTTTCTCTCTCCCTCTGTATTTCTCGTTGTCTCAAAACTACACTCATTTCCATAATTCATTACTTCGACATGTATTGTATACTCTTATGAAAATGAACTTTATAATTCATTATAAACGTCAAAAGGAGAAAAGTACTATTTTCCATAGAAAATCATTTCAACCATAATTAGTTCCCATTTTAGACTCCAAACTAATTTAATTGTTATTTTAATAAAAGGACATAATTTTAAAGGGGAAAAAAAATTCCTACTTTTATACAAAAGATCTTGTCCCGTTTATTTTTTGAAAAGACTGATTTGATTTTTGATAATAATTCGAAATCGTTATATTTTCAATGAAGTTCCAGTAGCCATCATTATTTAAGGATTATTCAGAATGCTATTCTCCTAAGTCGTTTGCAGAGAGAGAGAGAGAGAGGCTTCCAACTTGTACTTAGAAATTATTGTCAAAATACAATTTAATTAAAGGAGAGAATAATCATGATTGCTTTTCATTTAGTTGTCAGTTTACTATTCCATAGAACACTTTTCAATGAGATTAATTTATTACAAAAAACTTGAAAAATTACAACACATTGTAATTTTTAATTTTCATTATAAAAAATTCTACTAAATGAAATCCTATAGTGATTTTTAATTGATATAATTTAAAAAATAATAACTAAAAAACTATATAGATGAATGACAAAACATTATTAAACATTTAAATAATTGTTTAATTAAACATGATAATGGATCATTACAAAATGCATCATGTTAATGGATTACATGCGGATAGTTTATCAAAATTAATGGAGAGCACACTCATTAAAATGAAATCATATTCTAAAACGCGTGAGTGACTTTAAATTAAACACATATTCATCAACTATTAAAAAAAAAAAAAAAACATAGTATTATAATTCAAAATAGAAATTTGAAACATTAATTGACATTTCTCATAATTACAAAATCCAATTTAAATTTTCAAATAATTGTATTTCATTAGGAAATAAACACAAATTTATTTCATTTAAAGCTGCAGAAGAAAATAAATACCCGTTTAATTTAATTTAAATATAATAAAAAAAAATGATTTTACTATTATAATACACTGAGAAAAAAAATTTAGTGTTTGCAACAAAATTGTTTGATTAGGCAATTTTAGTTCTTGTAACCAAATTTTGGTTGGCTGAAACAAAGTCGTAAAGTTATCTCAATCAAACATTTGGTTAGGTCAACAAAAACCAAACATTTTTGTTATGCCAACAAAAAACACTCAACCAAATTTTTTGGTAGATTCAAACAAATAGTTTGGTTGCTTAAATACCAACAAAAATTTGGTTGCTCTGACTTAACATTTTTCTCAGCGATAATTTAAATTGAAATGATAATTTTGTTTTGAATTTTAATTAATTGTACCAAAAAAAAAAAAAAAAAAAAAAATGGGTTTACTTTTACGCAATATCGCGTGTGTTTACGTCTTGAGAATGATAATAATTAATTGGAAGAAGGCAAACATTTGCGGAGATGCAACATCAATATAGTTAGTATGTTTAATGTACAGGGCAATATCGTCTGTGACAAAACCCTCCAGGGAAAATCTATAATGACCCAAGGGTGACCTAGACTTCTCTCTCGACTATATGCTTGCTATCGAATTGGTGTCCAATGGAGGAGAGCTTCCCTACAATTAGAAGGAACAAATTTGTACTATAGTCTATACAACAATGCTCACCAAAGTGTCTGTTTTGTGTGATATACAACAAACTGAAACTGCAAATGCATCAATAGCCTCAAAAACAATTACCAGTATGCAATTAATCGTGAAAAGAATAATTAGATTAATTTATTTTCATCATGCAAATTAATATCCTTATTAGAAATATAATTCTATTCAATTCAAAAATTTAATTTAATAAAACTTTAATTTTCCAAAATTTGGTGAATTTTGCATTAATCGAGAGTAAAGAAAAAAAAGGAGAAGAAGAAGAAGAAGAATTTGGATCACAGAACCACTTATTTTTATATGGTTCAAAGTAACCGTGACTTTTCAAAATCAAGTTACATTTCTTTTCGCAGATTTAAACTTGAAAATATTGTATGTCCAAGTTCTTTGGAAAACTGAAAGTTTTGTTTTCGCAAACTTGAAACTTTTTAAGATTACAGTCAAGCCAAGAATTCGAGTACGTTTCGTATTTAATGACGACTTCAATAGATAAATTTTGAACATATCCTAAATCACAAGATACAGGGAGAAAAATATTTGGCTTTCACTACAAAAAAAAAAAAAATGGTTAATGTCTAACCAAACATTTTCTGTCCTAAAAAAATTTTGCTAAGAAGTAAAATTTTATTACAATAATTTTAGTATTTATTTAATACTTATTTTCTTTTTTAAAAAATATACTTCTAAAGTTTAATTAATAGAACAAAACTAATTTAAAATCCTAAACAAAAAAAATTCAGTTTTATATTAATATTGCATAAAGAAGTAAAACAGTCTAAGTAGAAAAATAGGCAAAGTAGCATCATATATAAGTTTGCATTGTCTCGTATGTTAGCTTAGGCGCATTCAAAAATCTCAAAGTCTCAAGTATCATTTCTCTTGAATTTCTTTTTTTTCTCTCTTTTGACTTTCTTTGTCCTTCATTTACCCTTTCACTTGTCCTTCGTTCTCAGCAGTTATTCAATGGTCTTTGCCAGGTCTGACACTGTATTTTTCATATCTTTATGTAGCTTTCTCTCCATTCTTTTTTTTCTGAATTTAAAAAAATATATTCTTTTTCCATTTTTTTTTTTTTTTTTTTTTTTGTAAAACTTTCTCACCAACGTCATTAAAGATTCTCAACTTCTTAAAAAGTTATAAAAGACAAACTTTTGGAATCCAATTGTGTAAGATTTTTAGTCATTCAAATTTTCACCACCTGAAATCCGGATCCTCATAACTTTTACCCGCACCAAGAACTATTCAAATTTGCACCGCACGATCCTCATGAGAAAATTCATGTATGCAGTTACCCCTTTTTCATTATATCAGTGGTTACGCTTGACAAATTTTTCTCTTCGCATGAAAAAAAAAATCTCGCTTACAATTGAGTTTAGCGTACGTTAATCACGAAAGTTCAATGAAAATTCCACAAAAATTCCATAAAGGTCCTTTCACTAAAATTCACGGGAAAATAAAAAAAAATCAAAATTTTTTCAAAGCGAATATCAAAGCACTCACTTCGCTATAAAAAAAAAAAAAAGTTTATCATTTTTTTTTTCTATATGAAATAATTCGAAATAAAATTCTAATAATTTCAAGATTCCATTGGATCTTGAAAATTTCCCTTGGGAATTTTATAGAAAATTTAATGGAATTTTCATATGCAATTTCAATAAAAATATTTTATAGAAAAAATTTCGAGTAAAAAATAATTTTATTAGAAATGTGAGTTGGATTTTAAGGAGTAAAACGAATTTTCGAAAAAGAAAATGATATTTTTATTAATAAAGTCAAATTATTTTCAAATGAAACTTCATATGAAACAAAACTCAAATATCAAAAGAACACGAAAATTGACAATAAAACACACAACCAGGAGACACATACATACATACATTAGTTGAAAACTCGGTCGAAGAGAAAATTAAAGAGAAAACGATTTGTCGGTCACTAATTAAAACTCGGTTATTAAATAAAACACTGTCATTAAATTGAAATACGGTCATTAAATAAAATTTGTTCGTTAACAATAAATTTTCATTGTGACATATGTATGTTAAAATGAAATAAATGACAAACAAAAGAGAAGTGCGGGAATATAGTTTGAAAAGTTATTTTGTATTTTTAACTCTTTTTTTTTTTAACAAAAACAGAGTTTTATTATATTATATTAATTGATCTTTATAGAAAAACTAGAACAAAGCAGTTTTAGATTCGAGCAATTGGATTACAATTTGTGAATAGACAAAGGAATGTCAGGCAAAATCACTCTGCTTCAAAATGAACCTTTACACATTGCTGCTTCCTAAAAGAGACTTCTATAAGTAATTTATTGAACGTTGGAATTTTACAATTAGAATCATTTAAAGGAATATTGCGCTCTTTGAAGAGTTTTTTTTTCGACAAATAAAGTGAGAACAATACAATTTAAATTGTCTTAAAAAAAAAGAAATTTATTCTGTAATTAAGAATATTTTTAATTAAAACTAGAAATCAAATTTTGACAAACAATTCCAGTGGAATATCTCTTCTTTTGACAAAAAAAAACAATATACGAGAAAGCTACTTCCTAAATATCTTGATAGATGTCTAACTATTTGTTCGTAAGATGAACGCAGGTCACAAGAAAGGCGAGGGGGGACGCTATTGTTTGCCAGCACTCGAATCACAATCGTGACTCGGGGGTTTTCATGAAGAAAAAAAAAAGTTAAGTAAAAGACCAAAAGGAAGAGCTTTTGTGCAAAACAAAAAAAAAATGTCGAATTAATGCTACCAGAACAAGGGGAAAGTAACAAAAGTGATTAAGAGGAATTTTTTGAATGTATACATTTCATATAATGAAAAACCATTTCAAAATTTATTCATAAAAATTCAACTATTCCAAATCATTAATTATTTAATTGATAATTGATATTTAATATAGATATGAATTTTCATTCTTCAAATATTATTAGTGAAAAATATAATTGTTTTTATTATTTCATATTTTAATAATATTGGACGAATAAATTGAAATTTTTAATTAACTAATTAAAATTTAAATAAAATTAAAAAAAATTCCTTTCTATTTTAATTTTATTAAATTAATTGAGAAAAAATCTTTTGAATTTATAGATTTTAATGTTATGATTTTTTTTTTTGCAGATCGAAGAGCACCTTACAGTATACCCTCAAATTGGAGGGCACTTTGGTACAGTAATTTCGACGATCTACAAAGAATCAATGAAGTACATGATAACAACACCATGTCTAATGAAACAGTACAGATGGGTGCTACCGCCTTTTTACACTGCGAAGTTCGCAATTTAGCAGAGAGAACTGCCTCGGATGCTGAGGTATGGACCAAAGACTTGATAAAAAAATATTTCTAACAGAAAACAACTTCAAAAGAACTCAATCTAAAACGAACCAACTCTCTTTCTTTTTTTTTGCAAAATTATTACCATTATTATTTTATTTATAATTATAAATTACATAATGGAAAATTTTTTCTTATAATAATTTTAATTCATAAATATTGAGTTACTTTTTGGATTTTGAAAAAAAAAATTGTAATAAAAAATACCCTATAAAGATGTATGGAAAAAAAATCTAAAATAATGACAAAAAATATGATTATTATTATTTTCACAAATCACTCTCTTTATCAATATGAATCGACAGATTTCTCAGAAAACAAAGTAAAAAATATTTCTGCAAAAGTAAATATTTTCGAAAAAAAACACGTCTCTCGTGAATTTGCAAGAATAGTAATCCTGCTGTTGAGAGAAGTCGATTCTAGGTCGACGGCAAACTGAAAATTTCAATATGTAGAAATATATATATATATATTTTTTTTTTATCTGACTCAATGTCTGCTACAATTTAGCCGCAACAGAGTGCATTATTATCGTCCAAAATGCAACTCTTTTTACATCTAACATTTGAAAATGTTATTTCCCATTGATTTTTGAACATTCAACTTTTTGCAATTTTTTTTTTTAAATTAAAATAAACATTAAATATTTTGAAATGAAAAAAATTAAAAGTAAAGAAACAAAAATATATATTTTTTCAAAAATTTTTTGGAAAACAGAACACAATATTGCTAAATTATCGAATTGAAAAATAAGAATAAAATCATATAGATTATATATAAGTCATGAGAATAATAAATGCTTCCAAGAACGCCCATTAGTAATTCCAAAAGGACCATTAGGTAACATATACGACGACTCGACTTTCTTTAAACGGGGGCAAGTCCTACATTTTTCCTTTCAAACAAATCGTGAGGTCTATGGCTTTTTTTTGCTGGCAAAGCAATTGTGAGTAACCGGATAATTTGTCTCACAATCGATAATGTCATTGATCCTTAAAAGCTTTCAAATTGACAGGACGCCCTTCCCTCTCTCTCTCTCTCTCTCTATTATAAATATATCAACTATATACTCTTAGAAAACTCTCACCACTAAGTGGAAAGGCACATAAATTACCTTACACGATTTAATTACTAAAGAGTAAAGAAAAAACATTTTTAATTTCCGATAAAATTCTATGTAATAATAAATTTTAATAAATTTTTTTCTAAAAAAAATTAAAATTTACCTTCCAAAGAATTAATTCTAAGATGAAAAAAAAAAACTGAATAATAAATATTTTTTAAAAACTTTTTTTTCAATGTAAATACTGAATGAAATAATCCATTCGGGGATTCGCCCTACTAAAATTCGTGTATAGATGCATTTTCATTAGTCATCGTTGAACCCAAATGTACAAGCAAACAAAATAGGAATACACTTATCAGTTATCACCATGTATGTGGAATTTTGGAAAACAGGTCAGCTCAGCAAAACCATTACACATTAAAATTTGTGTATATACCAAATTTGAGTATTAATATCTATAAACAATTATAAAAGAAAAAAACATGCATATTTAATAATGACCCAAAAAATATCTCTGGCCGTTTTTAACTTATTGTGTGAGTTTCAAAAAAAAAGAAAAAAAAGCCCAGAAACTTGAAATGCTGTTCTTGAACATTATCATGAGCGTTAAACTCCTCATAAGTTTTATCATGAGTAAACGTTTTATGTTTATTTATTATTCTCAAGTTTCGTGCTTCTGGGCACAAAATATTGCACATACAGTAGAATGGCACGGTAGATATAATTTATTTCAATCCGCGAGAGCAGATTCCATTACTGTGATAAGAGTATAATAATTATACATACACACACAAACTGTACCATGTATATAAGGCCAATTGGTTTTCGCAACGTTTGGTAGATATAATACAAGCGCGATCAAATCTAATCCTTGTTAATTCTATCGTGTTATTTATTATCGATTTTAACAATAGAGATACTTTTTTTTCAAATTTGCACAAAACTTTTTGTCAACTCAATTCTCGCTGCTTTAAACAATTCAAGAACAAACAATAATAATCTGTGAAATAAAACAAAAGATTTTTTTTTTTTTAATTGATAAATGGGGCACATGAATTTCCCATTTTTTTTTTATTCACTAATAATGATTTTTATTTATCGAAATATTTTAATTATAAAAATTTCTAATCAATATTAATTTAATATTGATTAATATTAATTAATTTTTAAAAATAAAAAAAAAATTTAAAACGGCGTGAATTGCTTTTGATATTTTATTTTTTTTTTTTAGTAAAGAAGAAATTGTGCTGACTCGCGGCGTTAATTGGTGCACCTACCCTATTTCTTTTAAACTTATATTTCGACGTGACGAGAACGAGGAATAAATAAACAAGTCGAGTATATATAAACGCGTTGTGAAAAGCAAAACTTCTTCGCGGTTGCACTTGTATTTATTTTATTTTCTTTGTGCATTACCTCAAAAATGTTGTGGTACGAGTAAATAGAAACGGTTAAATAATTTTAAAGGAAGTGGTAAACGTAACAAAATTACCCAAAAAAAATAGGGAGAAAAAAGTAAAAACTTCATTTTTAAAAAAATAAAGAGAGGAACCATTTACATAATCAGGAAATTTTTTTCTATATTAACAAAATGGAATATTTACAAAAATGAATTAAAAAAAAAGTTATACTTTTTAATTGTATATAATACCCCAGAAAGAAGAGTTTTAATTAAATTAAAACAACACACAATGTCGTTGACATTAATTAATTAGAATAAAACGAAACAATTTTCGAAATTGAAAATTCAATTAATTTTGTACTTTATTAATTTTCGGCGAAAAATATTCCCTTTGTCGAAATCATTATTTTAATCTCTATTCGAGAAATTAATGTGTAAATTAAAAAAGTCATTACGAAGCTGTGGCTTTGGTCAGTTTTACTGAAATTTGCTTTTACTACTTGTGATAAAACTGTATTAGCTCGGAGATTTTATGTCTGACTAAACCTGTCTTTACTACTGAGACGAAAATTATATAAGAATTTGAAAATAAAGAGAAAAATTGACTTTTACTACTTAAAGACAAAAGCATTTTAAATAGTCTGATTAAGAATGACTTTTACTACTTTAAAAATTATTACAAGAATTCGTAATGTCTGACTAAAAATAGCTTTTACTACTTATAATTTTGTATCCGTTCTACTGAAACTATCATTGTGGAAATTCGAAATGTCGGACTAAAAGTAACTTTTACTACTGATAATTTTGTATAAATTTGAAAATCTTCAGTCTGACTAAAACTATATTTTACTACTCATAATAAAGTAGAAATAATTTAAAATGGTCTGTCTGACTAAACACAATTGTTACTATTAAAATCATCGTTATAAGAATTAGGAATGTCTGACTTAATGTCCCTTTTACTACTGATTTTTGGTCTGACAAAGACTGACTTTTGCTACTGCCAAAACTACAACAGAAAATATTTAGTCTAACCAAAACAGACTTATACTACTGCCAAAACTGTAACTGAAAATATTTAGTCGGACAAACACTGACTTATACTACTGCCAAAATTGTAACTGAAAAAATTAAGTCTGACCAAGACTGACTTATACTACTGACAAATTACAACAATTAAATTATTAGTCTGACCAAAACTAACTTTTACTACTACCAAAACTGTAACAAAAAAAATTTAATCTGATTAAAACTGAATTTTACTACTAACAAAACCGTTACATATAGGAAATATTTAGTCTGGCCAAAACCGACATTTACTACTGACAAAACTATAATATAAAATATTTGTTCTGACCAAGACCGATTTTTACTACTGACAAAACTGTAACAGAAAATAATTAGGCTGACCAAGACTGACTTATACTACTTACAAAACTACGATAATTAAATTATCAGTTTGACCAAAACTGAATTTTACTACTGAAAAAACTACAACATTTAGACTATCAGTCTGACCAAAACTGACTTTTACTACTGATAAAAAATAGAATAGAAAAAAAATCTAATAAAGTAAAGATTTCTTTTTCAGTCTAAATATTATTGAAGTGAAAATTATTTTTCTGAAACTTATATTATTAATTAAAGAAATGGATTATATATTTTTGAAATTTTAAAAATTATTTACGAGGCATTTTAGCAAAATACAAAGCCTTGACAAAGCATTTTCTCGCCCTAGGCTGCGTACCAAGATTGTGGCATCTTTGCCTTAACTCTGTTCTTGTCTATCTTTCCCCCGCCCTCTCTCTCTCTCTCTCTCTCTCTCTCTTTAGATAAATTTAGTTTCTCATATAGTTTCCGCTTCATATGTGTCTTATTGTTACTACCCTTAACAAAACAACAAACTATCCTGAGATATAAATTTTTTTCAAACTTAATTACTAATCTATATAAATTATATCTAAAAATCATATATGTATGTATATAAAATATAATAACAAAAATATTATAACAATAATAGAATAGAAAAAAGTATAATTATACTCGAAATTTATTAATGGGGATGAAAAACGTTTTATACGAAAAGAAATTCTCTTCTGATATAATGGATTTTTTTATTCAAACTTTTATCCATCATTAGATATCTGTGACTGCCTTATTTAAAGTACAGCTTGAGGGCGATTGAAATACCCTTCAAAAATTGAGTCCTTAATGGAAACGCCTCAAGAAACCTTCGACTTGTGCTCTCTATAGGAATATATTTGAAATTTAAATTCCCTCTGACTGGGCTATATAAAAAATTCATTTTGTCCACCCTTCTCGTGAGAATTATATGACGTCATCATCGAACTTGATTTCTTTTTGTGTTCAATTTTTTCATGAAAAATAGTTTTCAAAATGTCTTATACTATTTCTCATTTGAGAAAAAATATTTTAAAAATTCTCAAAAAAAATTCCAAAACAGTTTATTCAATTTAAAAAAAAATTATTTGGTTCATGTAAATATTTATTAACAGTTAAGTAAACGATTATTTGAATCAAATAAAGATTTTTTTTTAAGTGTAATTTAAGAAAGTAACTGAAACATTTACAACATAAAGTTATTTTCTTATATAACAATCGATTATTTAATGTCATTGTATCGCACTTTACGCTTGAAGCGTGAAATAAAGTGCAAAGTCAATAATAAAATAATAATATTCCATTTTTAACGTTGACGGTAATTCGTTTCGTACTTATAAAGAATTAGAGGTTATTTTCACAAAGAGGATAATTAAAATAATATGTGAGGGTTTATAAATCTCTCAGTAGGTACGGACAAGTTTTGGTCAGACGACAAAGTAGGAATTAGTCTTTGGTCTCTCTCTCTCTCTCTCACCAAGCATTTTCTGCGGTGAAGTAATGCAATTTATCCCACTGGACTCTTTTTTTTCAAACTTGGCACAAAAAAAAGAGGTGTTAACTTGGAAAAATAAATGTTTCTCAGTTTTTTTTTTTGCCACTTTCAAAAAGAATTATCTTCCATTGAAAAAATATATATATATATTCTTTCTCGAAAAATATTGTGTCAAAAGGCTTTTTCTTAAAAACGAAAATTTTGTTTCAAGCTCAACGTCACATACGAATAAAAAAAAAAGTAATCTCTCCATTTCAGCGAATTCCTCTCATTTTGATGCAAATTTTTTCCTTTTTTGAAAACTTTATCAAATCTCTTCTCTATTTGAAGATATTGCTCTATTTGAGAAAATATCATACTAGAATAGAATATAACCTTTTGGAAAGTTGTCTCTGGTTTATATAAATGTAGCCTAGAAAATGTTTCCTCTCACATCATCTCAAGAACAAACTCTTAATGAAACAGAGAAAAAGTCTACTCTTCTCTGTTATTTTCAAAAGAAGAATAAAATAAACTTTGAAATATCTCATTTTGAGATGATAGCCTTACCATTATTATTATCATTAATCGGTGAAACAGATTTGAATGTTTCAATTAGTAAAATCTGCATTATCATTAATCGGTAAAACTGATTTAACTGTTTCAATTAGTAAAATCTACATTACCATTAATCGGTAAAAAAGATTTCAACTTTTGGTTTTTGGAACAAAGAATCTTTAATAAAGAATATAATTTAAAATTTTCGAAAATTAACTTTTACCTTGATTTTAGCTAAATTAACCTTTAATCTTATTTTAAAGTTGAAAAAGAAAGAGATTTCGAAACTAGGACAAAACCAATTAAGATATTCTCTCTCTCTCTCTCTCTCTCTCTCTCTCTCTCTCTCTCTCTCTCTCTCTCTCTCCCTCTGTCACTGAATTTAAATAATCAAATTAAGGTATATAATTTCATTAACAAAGTTTCGTCAGTTTCGTGAAACAAATGTACAAGTTTTTAAGGGTAATAAGAAAATCTATATCGATGAAAATGTAATCAACTCGAGCGAGAGAAAATGAACATGACACAATATATGTGTGTATGTGTGATTTTGCTTCAGATATCTTGGATTCGACGGCGTGACTGGCACGTACTGACGAGCTCTATGTTCACCTATACGAACGACGAGCGATTTCAAGTAATACATTCGGATGGTACCAATGTCTGGACACTTCAAATCAAATACGTTCAAGAGAGGGACAATGGGACTTACGAATGCCAGGTAAGTTTGTACAAATTGGAAAAAACTTCCATTTCAAAATATCTTTCCTTCACACCTGAATCACTTTTCTTTTTTCTCTGATTTGTCGAAAAAAATAGATGTCAAAAATCTAATCCAAGTATTGAACATAAAAAAAAAGGATATATCTATTTTTCATTTCAATTTATTTTTAGAATAATAAATTTTATGAAAATCATTTTTCAAAAATTCTTATTTTATATTAATAATAGTAATAAAAATAATAATAATAATAATAATAATAATAATAATAATAATAATAATAAATTTAGAGAAACGTATTTTCAATAGAGAGGGAAATTGAAAGGACTTGATTTCTCACTCCTCCTGTCATGTATGGGTGATTAATTAATTAATCGACGCTTGTAGACTCCACAACCTCTGTCTGTGAGATTCCCTCCTCCTAAGCTTTGTTATTCCGCCCTCTACTAGATAAATAATTAATGTCCTCAAACTTTTAGCTGGGAAAATAATTGCCTTGAACTTCTCCTTCCACACAAACTTGAACTTCTCTCTCTCTAGTGTTTTATGAGATTTTGCCAATTTTATATATATATATATAGGAAAGAATGTGAGAAATTGCACAAAAGTACTTAGTTATAATGAGAAGTAACTTTCTTTTTATGTAAAAAAAAAAAATTCGCTCAGGAAAGAATAATTAGAACATTGGTAGTAAATGGAAATTCTACGAACGCTGAAACTTCGACATATATAATAAATTATCGCATTAAGAATAAATGATCGTTGCTTAAAAATATTTCTACTTGAATGGAAATTTAAATTTAAGAATTTCATTATTTTCTCATTTTTGAAAAATTTAAATATTTCGAAATAAAATTCAAACTCCGAAAATATATTTTAATTAAATACTATTAAAAACGAAAAAATATTCAGAAGATTCGAACCCAAGACCCATATCCTAGTAAATAAACGCCTTAACGACCGCGACCAATCATTGGTAACTAAATTGAAAATTTTGTAAATAAATTTTTCTTTAAATTAATTTAAAAAAAAAAAAACTATTTTCAGAGTGAATTAATGGTGATTAGTAAATAATATAATTACTTTAAACGCTTTTACATAAAAATAATAAAAGAACAATTTTTGAAGAATTTAGAAGTGTAATTGAAGATTTAAATTTTCAATTAAAATAATCAAAAATTAATTGCACAATAAAGATGAGTTATTATACAGAGAATAATGGGTACAAATGGAAGTTGCCTTCTCTGATGGCATACTCAAAGATATTACACACTATATAGCCTCTTATGTTTGAACCTCATACAGCACAAGAACACATAATACACACTATATTCTCTAACTCTCTCTCTCTCTCTCTCTCTCTCAACGAAGGCAAACACAACATGCAAACAACTAAGTAATCTCAGCTTAGTCAAGATATTTTTTACACATTATACAACCAAAAGCTAACTTCAGTATAAAGAGAATAGTCCCAAAAAAAAAACAATTAAAAATAATTAACTAAAAAAGCAATAAATTTTTTATTCTCTACACTATGGAAAAAAGAAGGCAATAACAAAACGATAATACTATTGCTTTTCTATAACAATTAAAGACATCTGTTATTTATTTTTAGAAAAGAAGAAAAAAATTGATTATCTTCGTTTATTATCTACGGATTTGTAGAGGGAAAATATGAGAAGATTTCTCGCTAATAAAAGCCATTGCGCAAAACTTTCGATAGTCTACTTAAATCACTATTTATAGAATGTTTTTACCGAGGAGATTTTTCGTATACAATACTTTGAAGGAGATTCTTATAATGATCGAAAAATTAAAAAAAAAAAAAAAAAAAAAAAAGACGAAAAAGCTAATTCACATTTTCTTCTAATAACCATTTTTTTGCAAATAAATTTGCCCAAGAGATGACCTACAAAAGTTCGACATAGACGATAAACTTTTATGAAACGTCTTTATGTTAATTTACATATACGAGAATATCTTTGGTAAAAGTTTTCCGCAAGATTCTTTTCGATAATTTCAATATTTTTGTTTAGAAAAATTAAGAATTTTTTATTTTATCATAAAACTAATGAAAAAATATGCACAAAATTAAATAAATATTCTTATTATTATTTAACCGTCCAAGAAAATGTCAGTTATCCATGAAATTACAATTGAACGTCAAATAACTTCAAAACCAAATTACTCCAATTAAATGTGAAGTATTTCTCAGTAAAATTATTCAATATACGCTATTTTAACAACCAGAGCATTTCGTGAAATCAAATACAGTGTGATAAATTTATAACGATTATTATTTAAACTATTTTTTATTCAACACACTTTTGAATGAGAAAAAAAAATTTTTTCACACATAATTAAAAAAAAAAAGAATGATAATCCGAATTAATTTAACAATATTTTAATTTCAAGGTATTAATTTAATACCAACTGTAGGTACTAAATTTTCATTTGGTTCTATTTTGTTACCTAAAATCGGTACTATTTTAAAACTTTCTTTTTACTGTGAAATAATAAAAATAAATAAAATTTCAATTGTAATTCAATCTTGGATAATATTATTTTTGAATGAAAACTCAATTATGAAACAAAAATTTGCCTGAATTACCAAATATATATATAAACGAAATATTTCTCTCTATATAAAAATGTGAATGAAAAATCTGATGTAAAAATAAAAACACCGAAAATTCGAATGAAAAATTATTATTCGATATAAAAAAAAATTTCAATATTTAATATTTAATCGTATTTAATTTATTATATATTCAACGAATTAAAAATAAAAATCCAAGAATTTTAAACTCTCGCTTACTAAATTTCTTACTGTTTAATTATTAATATGACATTTATCGACTATTGGTAATAAAAAAAAAAGATTGGAAAAAAAATTGAAAAACAGTAAAACACAATAATAAAAATAGGAAAACAAAAAAGAAAGTAATTTAAAAAAAAAGTATAAGAAGCAATAATGAATCGACAAAGGAAGAACAAAATAATAGAAAAAAAGAGAGAAAAAAAAGGAAAGAAAGTAATGAAACAGCAAGACAATAAAATAATAACGAACTACGCGCAGAATTTCTCGTTTAAACGTAATTAAACACAACATTGTGTAAATACACTACATAGTTTCACTCGCAATTTTTTAATCACTTGCACATCTATTCTGAGAATTTCAAATACGAAAGGTCGTTCAAGCTTTTAAAGTTTCTCTCGCGCGCGCGTTTGGCAATCGAAGAAATTGCGAATCGTTTCTTCACACACAGAGCAAGAGAGTTAGAAACATATATATATATATATATATCTATATAACTGTGGCTGATTTTCCAAGTTTAAAGTCATGCCCTTTTTTCTCTTTATTTTCCCTTTCGTTTCTTTCGAGAAGAATTTTATTTCTTTAGAGCTGCTCCGGGGAACCATCGTGAGATGAAACAGTAATGTAAAATGGCATTTCAAGAAACGCTCGAATACTAAAACGCGCGCGGGTATAGTTTAAAAGGGAATAAGATTTTCTCAACTCTTTAATGCGGTCCAGTAATTTATAAATTTATAGGTAGGTATATCAATTCACTTCTTTTTTTTAATACTTTTTACTCTTATTTCTTCTTAAAAAAAAAAATTTAATGGAAAAACGGAAAAAAAATCCTTTTTCTTTTTTCCAGGAGAATCTTTTTTGACTCAGGGCTAAAATACGAATATAAGCTCAAAAATTCAAAATTTAGGATGGTTGGGGTAATATATATATATATATATAATAAAGCAATATTCGCAGAAGAAAACATTAAATTGTGTCAGTGACAGTAAAGTACAACTATACCACTATTGCAGCTAGGAAGCACATATATAGCCAATTTGAACGAGCCATGTAGCTGTACAAACGAGCATTGATGAACCACCTACTGGTCCATCTATTACAGTCATTACAGAAATATACTTGTACACAGAGAGCAATGTTCCTGTGTTGTGTTGAGAATTTCGAGACCGAGAACACTTATCTTCGATTGATCCATCTCTCGATAAAAAATTTACTCGGAAAAGAAGAAGAAGAAGAAGAAGAAGTAGAAGAAAAAGAGGAAAAAAAATAAAAAGCAATTTTTCAAGCTCTGCAGAATCTCTGAATTTCTGATCTGAAATAGAAGTTTTATTGGGACTATTTTTCTTATATCGTTCCGAGAAAAGCGATAAGGTGTTTCTTCCGAGAAGTAACCATATTTTTCAAACTAGCACTATTTTTTTTTTTGCAAAAAGTATTGGAAAATTCTGTAATTAATTTATATCTGATTCAAATAAACTTTACCTACTTACAAAAAAAAAAAAAAATTAAAAGAATTTAAAACATTCATATTTCTGAAATTATTTTTTCTACTATACAATTATTAGAAGAAAAATAATTAGATAAAAATAAAAATTTCTGTCTGACCAAAATTTACTTTCACTACTGAGAGTACAAAAAAATAATTCGCAAAATTATTCTACTACTGATACAAGTCTGATTAAAATCTACTTTTTCTACTAGAACAATAATTTGAGAAATACTGAAAAAATAACGTCTAACTTAAACCTACTTTTCCCACTGATTTCTGTATGACTAAAAATGATTTTTCTACTAGAACTAAAAGCAGCAGAAATAAGAAAATATTGTATCTGGCTAAAAACTACATTTTTTATTGAAAATAAAATCGGAGAAATTAGCAGAAACACCGTCTGACTAAACCCTACTTTTTCTACTAAAATTAAATTTCTAGAAATTCGGTAAAATTACACTTAACTAAAAGCTATTTTCGCTACAGAGAATAAAAAAATGAATACGAAAGAAATATGTCTGACTAAAAGTTACTGTTGCTACTAACATATGTCTGACCAAATCTTTCTTTTTCTACTGAAACTTAAAGAAATTAATAATTTAAATTGTGTCTGACTACAAGTCAATTTTTCTACTGATACGTATCTGACTAAACGTTGTTTTTTCTACTGATACGTGTCTGACTAAACATTGTTTTTTCTACCAAGGCTGAAATTTGGAGAAATAAAAATAAATTACGTCTGACTAAACATTGTTTTTTCTACTAAGACTGAAATTTGGAGAAATAAAAATAAATTACGTCTGACTAAACATTTGATTTTTCTACTAAGGCTGAAATTTGGAGAAA